CATTACAGCCCCTGAAGAGGACTCTGACATTACTTTCTTGAGATTATAATGAAAACAGCTGTACTTGTACCAATTCCCCTTTTTATTATTTTTTTGTAACAAAACAAGATTGATGTTATGCCACTTTCTGTTCTGTCATGAGAATAAGGTATCACAAATGCTAATAACTACCACAGTAGCGATATGCACTACTTTGATCTTTTCACTATTCTTTAATTTGGGCAGCTGGCCACTGAATTCCTTCCTAAAAATCTGTGCTGCCTATAAAAAGGGGAAAAGTGGCCAACCAAATCAAACGTGCACATTTAAAACCATTCAGCTGACTAGCCCAATTCAAAGCCTACATGAGTAATGCAAATACGATACTTTCATTTTGTGATTCTGGGCACTGAAATCTTTATACATATTCTTCTGATGATGGATTGTGGCCGAACAAGAAATACCAAAAGCAACCAATCCTCATTAAACTCTAAAGTTTGTAATCCCTTCGTTCTTATTGGTTGCTTTGCCAAAGACTTCTTAAGAGATTATTAAGCTTATTAATGAAAATCCAAAAGTAATTTTAAGTGATTTTTTTCCCCTTATAAGACAGTAAAATGAAACATGCTGTGGTTATTATTTTTTCCAGCGTCAAAGGCAATGCAAGAAGGCAGGATCTGGCAACAGCTGCTGTCAAGATTCCAAAACGAAGAAATGCAAACACCTACTGTCCAAATTATTGCTGTACTGATAGTAACAGGATAGTAGCCTTTAGCACTTCTGCTAATAAACCAGAACAGAACTGTGCATTGCCAGTTGAATTTCTTTTCCACTGTATCAAATTTTTACAGTGAATAATATATTCTCTGCATTTCAGTTAGAAACCCACTCTATCTTTGCAACAAGCATTGTTAGCCTCTTGTTTACCTGACTACCACATTGAAAATCTGGTGGTGTCAGAATTTGTAAGTAAAACTCTCTGAATGAGAATTTTGGATCCTCACTTCCAACAATCAGCAGTTATTTAGATACTTAAGATTTTTCCTGGAAGCCACAGGACAAGGTTTCTAAAAGTCAAAACCAGTGCCTCATGGAAAATTCAGAATCAGCTGAAGACATAATTTTATTGCAAAATGCTTTTGAAAATATGGCTATTCTGTTCATTAGTAAATAAAATGTAATAATTTAAAAAAATTTGAATTAGCAAAATTTGTATAAAGTGGTATAAGAGGAAAAATGTTCTACAAATACAGTTCCCAAAGTGAAAACATAATGAGAGAACATCTACATGTCCAAGTTAATTCACTGTTTGGAGTGTTTTTGTTCTCAGTTTCATTTCAAAGAGAAACATTAAAGTGATAAGTAAGGAAGCAATAGAGAAATCTGAATTGTTATGTTAGTGAGTAACTGGGAGACGAGATACTGTTTAGAGAAAAAGGAGACTCCTGAAGTGTTCAAAAAGACAGGAACTGTGTATATGCTATAAGAAAAGATTATAAAGTGGAATAAAAAGTTTAAGTTGCGTAATATGAGAGGCATAAAATACGGATATCCTGGAACCTCTGATGTTTATAGAGAAAAAACCACAGCCAGGACCAGAGGTGTGGTTTTACTATATTGTAACTGAGTTGGTTGCATATATGCTTATGCCTATGTTTATGTTCAGACACACATAACCAAGTGCATCTTGCACATTTGTGAACATCTATTAGCCAAAACGCTCTGCAGGCTGGGCAATTTTGTTTACACTGGTACATTAGCAACTGTGGTGGTTCTGCAGCCATGTGTTTTGAATGCAGCTTCAGTTTTGGAAGGGGAAGGAGACAATGTAGCAGTGGGAATGGTACCTTGCAAACAAGCTATTACAGGAATTGATTGTGTTGTATGACAGGGGTATTCATTACTCCTTTCCCATTTCTGTGCACATGATGTAGTTTAGCTTTGAGAAAGTGTACTTCTTACTTTTGTCTGAACACTATTTTGTGCTGTAGACCTGAGTTTGCTGCATGAACAATTGTTTCCTGCCAGTGGTTTGGTCATGCAGCAGAGTAGCTGCTTGGCTAGGTATGTTTGACATACAGAGCAGGTGGTTGGGACTGTGAAAGCCTTCCAGAGGCCACACACCACTGAGCATCTATACTGAATGGTGCAGCTGTTTTCCAGAGCTTGTAGTGCAGGAAAAACAGCAAAAGGAGGAGGGAACATGATTGTACAGATTGAAATGGCCACAGTCATTCTACAAATTCAACTTAATGAATTAGACGTGGAGCTTCTTGTCATTCCAGCATCAGTAAATTCAATTCATGGAGCTATTCTCACCAAAAAAATTACTGAAATTCATCTGTAGACTTCCAACCTCAGATTTTGCATCATTTAAGGTCAGTATTGTGCCTAAGAATTTCAGAGATTAGTATATCAGTATAGATTTGGTATTACTAACTCTTTGGAGCCAACTGTCTCCTTTTAAATGGAAGAAAATATAAATGTGTGATGTATGTCCCAAAATCCTCTATTAAATTTGCAGCAGCTTATTTATTATACTCTGTGAATATGTCTGTATCAATACAGGCACTGGAGCAATGGCAGCCAGCAGAAACTAGGTATAAAAATAGACAAAACAAGGGCTACAATAGAAACAAAGAAACATATTGCATGACTAAACAATATTGCACAGAAGGGGACAGATATGGAACCATAATTCAAAAGGTAAGCAGGGTAACAGATATACTGTATAGAGAAATATCTGCACAGTGTGCCCAAGAGTAGAAGAAAGCCAGCTGGGCAAGAGAGGTTCAAATTTGAACTCAGAGGATGTTATGAGATAGTAGCTGATGGGGAAAAGGATGTAATATAGAAAAAGAGCATTAGTGGGCCACTCTCAAAGCCAGTGATTGACTGAAAGGGAAGAATATAATGACAGCAGAGCATTAAAGACAAGAATGGTAGAGTATTGGAAAATTCTTAGTTATTTTAGCCTGCAAAGGAAAAAGACACATGCAAAACCTGCCTGATCAGTCCAGCATTTGAGAACATGCTTAATACTAATCCTCTTTTTTTTCCCCCCCATACTAATGGCTTTTCCTTACAACAGTTTATTTGCTCCTGCTGAGATACGTAAACATACACACTTGCACACTGCCTCACACTCCTCTACAGCTAAGCATGACCCCGAAGTACAATATCATCCTCTGCATTTGCTCAGATTCTTGGGCAAATGCTCAAGGGAGGTGATGCAGATCTTACATATAGATGCCAATTTGTCCCTCTGTCTTAACAACACAGCCAAGGTCTGACCTTCCCCAGCTTCCAGGGGTTTCTGAGCAGAGGAAAGCAAAAAAAATCACCAGACTATTACAGATGAAAAGAGCTGTGGAAATGGAAAGATATTAATTAATGTCATATATCTGTAACCCATTTGGATTTTTTAGTTACTGTTAGCTTAAGACCCTGGATGAGGCAATGGGACTATAATGCTTATAAAGAAAGGTGTATACCCAGCCGTAAAGAAAGGTGCAGTATGTTTTTACTAATAAGAGATTTAAATGATTTTTTAATATCTTTTGTGAATCACTACCAAAGAAAGTGGCAACTCTATCTTTAGGAAAAAAGGAAACAAAAGAAAAACCTTTAGATGCCCACAGTAGGTGGCATCAGCTACTGACCTACCTACTAATAAGGCAAATGAAAGGAAAACAGCCTGAGAGAAACTAAATAGCAGAGCCTAAGTCTTGAGGAGAGAGGAGGCATACAGTGCTTAATTCACCCTTACTAAAAACCTCTGTCAAACCACAAGTTGAAGATGTTACCGTTACAACAGGAAAAAATAGTTAACTGACTTATACTCCTTTGACTGGAATACTGCTGGTATTGAATTGGTGAACATGGCTGAAACCAGAAAGTCTATTATGAGTATTTAAGAAAATAATATATAGCCTGGGAGCAAGCACTAGGGCTAGTCAGACTTCTGCTTCCTGTTACTGGAGCTCAGTCCTAGTGGATGATCTATGGGAAACAGCTCTGAAATCAAATTAAGTGAGCTGCTCTGGCTTCAAAATCAGCACCTTACAGAGTAAATACAAACATGGGACAGAAGAAATTACACAGAAAAGTCAGAATCTTAATGTGCTCCTCAGCTGCTTTGTAGATGTGTAATGCCTATTAGAGTTACTGAAGCTGTTTCTGTCCCTTAAACCCCCCCCTAGATTATTTAGAAAACTGATTTCCTTTGGATGAGAGGAGTATTTCAGCACTCACTTCTAAGCAAATAGATGCTTTTAACTTGTCTTTAAAATTCATAATCTTTGCTCTTAAGCATTTAATTGTTCCCTTTTTTTACATTTACCATAATATCAGCCTTAAGTTTTTGACTGAAAATGTATTTATATATTTAATTATTTATGTATTTTGGATAATAGTATATCATTACATTTATACACACATTTAATATATAGGTAATATCTGGTGAAAACACTGCTCTGATAAGCTTTTTTAAGAACTTTCTGGGACAGTTCTGCTACTACTGATATAATCCCATATTATTTTTTGTTATTTATTTTTCACTGTTACTTTGGCATTTGACTCATTTTATATTTATAATACATATAATTTGGTTTGCTTTTTAACCTCTGAAATAATATAGGAAACACAATAAAAATATTTTTTAAGATGTATGTATTTTGGGGGGTTTTATTGGCTTAGGGAACAAGAGGATTGAAGTATCAATATTTTCTTGGAAATTTTCCAGTTAAAAAAAAAAAAAAAGAAAAAAAGAAAAGAAACTTCTATATAGAATTCTTGCCTTTTTGTTTGGACAGATTCCTGCAATTTCTTCCCATGGCTTTAATGACTTGTGGAAATTTTTTCATTTAGTCCATACTGTCAGCAGAATTCTTTCCCGGATTTCTCACCCTTTTAAATTTGTATCCCCTAGTTACCTGCTCCATCCTTTCCTTCCCCCTCCCTTCTTCAGCACTAATAGGCATGCTGGAATCCACCTTGTAAATGAAATCAGTCAAGTAACCTCAGCTTTGATTGCTTTATTCCCATGCTGTAGAATGAAAGTACTTTGTTGAATCAAAAATGTTCTGTATTCAATTGTCAGAAATAACAATGCACAGCAAAGAACTTAAGCTATCAACATAAACAATACAATATGAAAGCATGCTTCAAACCAGATGCTTCTTTATTTCTGCCCAAACAGTTTGAAGAGCCTGTTAAAATGCTTCAAGTTGCTGTTTACAAAGGGTCAAATGAATATTTTTCAGTGAAATGTGTCCCTTCTGGTTCCTTAATGATTAAATGCAGTGGAACAATAGCCATCTAAAATAGCAAAAGAATATCTGATGACTTTTTGTGGTTAGGTTTGTTAAAATAGGAGGAGTTGAAAAGCTTTGTGTGAGGTGAGAGAAAAATGCTCTGACAGCATCAGAGTCACCTCAAAGATTTTGACAATTTGTCAAACGTCACTGCACTTCTCAAATAGCCTTTTGCAGGACACTTGGGAAAATAAATGGCATATCTCCTTTGCTCAGACTGGCAAACATTCTACATTACCCCCAATATGTTGTGTTGTGTGCCTGTCCTGCCACCTGCCTCTTCCCTTCCCTGCCCCAAAATGAGCAATCCCAAACACAGATCTTGCCTCCCGAAGGAGATAACCAATCCAATCAAAATCTGCGTCCTTGTGCTTTTGGAAAAGGGTTCTTTCTAATTTGACTCCTGGATCTTACTCCTGCTGTCCCACTCACCTGTGTCAGAATTCAGCCTAGTGTAGGTCATTCGGTTGCAAGTCATTAAAATCACTGTTCTTCTGAGTTTTATTGGTAGAATTTCAACCTTTAGAATTCACTTTCATCTATTAAATAGAACTGAACCTCACTGCAAAATAGTCTGCCTCTATGCAAAGACACCCATGCAACTGGAATGTCAAATGATGACTTAAGATTGAAGCTGAGCTTGTTTGATAAGAAACCCACCATTAAAAAAAAAAAGGGGGGGGGGGAGGGAAGTAAACAATGCTTTGGCTCTAAATTGTCTGAATAAAATTGTATTTCTTTTCATGTTTGATCAAAGACTTGTCAGGATTTTGAAAAACAGGTCACTGTACCTCTGTTGCAACTCTATGGAGGAAAACTGCTGGGTATTTGTGACTTCATTCCATCCAACTATCCATACTTAAACCTCACAGAGTAGTATTTTGCTGTACAGTGGAAATGAAGTTAGCAACATTTCTGTTAAATTCATATTATCTTGTTGGAGAGTCTGATTTTTTGTGTAAACATACCCAGCATGCGACCATCAAAATAGTCAAGGAACAGCAATAACAGGTAATAAGTTTTTGCTATGTGAACTTCCTTAGTTACTCATAACTTCCTCATGTGCCAGCAGCTTTATAAGGCATATAAATAATAAATGAGATTCTTATTAAACTGGATCAATTTAGATCAGGTATATAATTGTTTTCCTTAAAAATTGCAAGTTTAGGATGATTTATGGTAGGTTTCACAGTGCTCCTTCTAAGTTAAATGCTTGTTTCAAGAGATAAATCCTTGCCTCCACAGAGATAAGTTTATACTCTGGCCTTCGCAGGTATGTGTAGTGGGGCAAGAAAATACAGGAAACCTTCTCTCCTACTTTAAAGTCTTCTCAGACAGGACAGGGGTCTGGAAGTCCCTAATTCTGGTGAGAACAAGATCTTTTTTCCTGTGCTTGATGTCCTAAAAGGGCCATGAATTTGCTGGCAGATATTAACTATAAATCAGTCTGCAAAACTGGCAAGAGATAAAGTGGTTGGTGGTGCCCTGGTGGGGTTATTTTCATGTGGATTTGACTGCAGGTGCTTTACAATATCCATGGGACTGCTGTAGGACAGCTAGAGTAGGAAAGGGTTTTCACCCTGTGTGGTGTAAGGCAGTGTGTAAAGGCCTCTGTTAGCCTGTTAGCAGATTTACAGCAGTTCGTCGTTATTTCAGAAAGAAATAAGAAAAGTGTAGAAAGTGATATATATATATGTATATATGTGTATGTATATGCATATTCATGCATATATGTATAAAAGAGCACATATAAAAAACCTGATAAAAATGTAGTTGCTGGTCAGGAGAAGAGATCTTTCAGCAGCTCCCCTCCCTCCCCAGCTTTATGTTTGCAGCCTCTCCCTCCTCCCTTCAGCTTCTCACTGAACCCTCACCAATGGGCTCAGACTGCAGAATTCGGGGCTGGGTGGACCAGTCAGATGATGGCTTTTATTGGATGAAAATGAAGCAAAATGAGTAAGAAAAGGTCACAAGCATGTTGAAAATCCCACTAGCCATCACAGATGGATGTGGTAGCCAGGCTGCCTCTAACAGGCTCCATTTCTGTGGATAACAACTGATGCCCATTAGGGCCAGCTCACCTCCAGACATTAAGCTTTTTGCACTGCATGAACCCATGCTAAGTGAAGTGCATCACTGTTACTGACTTTCTACATCTCTACCTTAGCTTCCTTGGAGAACTACAGGAAAAATAATGGTATTTGTTCATTATTGTCCTGCTTTAGCTCTCAATTACATATTTGTCCATCCCTGCCCTTCTGCCTTCAAGAACAAATTTTGAAATCTCAGAGAAGACGAAAATCTGTAGGTTTTACATCCTAGTTAAAGAGTTTCCTGTCCTCAGGTACTGTATTCCAGCTTTAGTGGAAATGTGGAGTAAAATATTGGCCTTCTAAGGATTTATGCCGAGTTTACACTGTTAAAAAAGTGAACAGAAATTTTGGCCAGTTAGGCCTCTTTCCAAACTCCAGAAAGGATCTAGTGAAAGAATGAAGCATATTAAGGCTGTGATGGACTTCCAGCAATTGTCTTATATTAATTCTAACATGATGATGTAATTCCAGGTTGCAGAAATAGTAGCTAAGCACCAAAATGGCTTGCTTAGAGGATAGTAACAGGTATTTCTAATATTAAAAATACTTTAATAATTAAAAAAATTACAGTAACAGGAGGCTATCAGAATTAACTTAGCTGAACTCAATCCTGCAAATTGATGGGCTAGATGATCCCCCTTTCTGACCATTTTATTATGATTCATTCTGTGATTTTCTGATCCGCTTTCCTCAGTTTCTTTTGGGAACTCATCATGTGTCAATCTGTGAATACGTACGGGGCACTAAAGAAGTTTTCTCACAACTTTCTTCACAACCTTCCAAGAAGAGGACAGAAGCATTGGACCATGTCACTTCTACTTCCACAAAGGATCTACAGGTAGGGAACAGATAAAATGCAGTGTTAGCTTCTTTCATCCATCCCCCTTTTGACCCTTTGCCACCCTATGCAGACCTTCTAGGCAGTACTAGCTCAAAGGAGAGACGGTGAAAAAGAAGGGGATGGTATGTTTTTCTTCCTTTTAGGAAAGTTACAGTACAGTGCTTGTATGCACACTCATCTTTCTCCACTTAAACTGAAAGGCAGGACTTTATGAGTTTACATCCAGGAACATTTCACATATCCACAAGATCATCTTTCTCCTCAATGTTATTTGGGCTTATGGACTTTTTAAAAAATATATCTTTGCACAGAACTGGTAACTACTTCTCCCTAGGTAGCTTTGCAGAGGTTTTCTACTTTTCTGCACTGTGTATATATTTTTCAATTATTTTATTTTTCCCTATGTTTTGTAGAACAATTAGTAAGATCACAAGTGGTGGATTTTTGCCTCAGAGGTTTGAAAACACTGTCGTCAGTTGAGTTTTGGACTGCATTTGCTTAGTTTGAGAGATATGAGTTTCTACTGTCAGCAGTCAGTTACTGCTTTCAGGATGTTCACTTAATAACATCCTAAAGATAAATCAAAATTAAATCCTCAAACCCCCCAATATTAAGTAATAATTTTACAGCTGACCTTTTGAGATATTTGTGTAAGAATGGCTGGCCAGAAAAACCAGTGCAAACATCTCTCTGCCTGAATTGGCTGAGCTTTTGAACGAGCTTTTGAACGAAGGGTCTCCCATACATGCAAACTCAACTGGTGTCTTTGGCAGCTCCAGCAAGGCTGGAATATAAGCCTGAACTGAAAAACTTGCATGTACAAGGGGGAATCCAATTCTCCTTTTGCTAACACAGATGTAAATTAGGAATATGCCTCTGACAGCCAGTGGTGCTACACTCCATGGGCATGGAATCGAGGCCAGAGTAGAGAGCTGGAACACTGCCAAGTTGAAGTAATATTAGGTTGATAACTCCTCTGAAATCCTATAGAATCCCTCATCTCCAGGTTTATCAAACCACAACTACAGATGCTTAAATAAAAATGAAAAAGGTCCTGTGTGTTTGTGAAATCTGGCATTTATTTTATATCACTCTCATGACAAAAAGTGTTAGAAAAATGTCTTAAACCACTACTTGGGGATTTCCTCCAAGCACTATGCCAGCTGCTCTCAGCCTCCATTGTGAAATGATGGGCTGCTGGCATAGCCAAAGTACTTTACACTCCAGCAACCACTGGATGCATAGCAGCCCTTTGGGAGTCATTACCAACTGGTGTAATTTAGGGCAGCCCTGAGGCAGCTCTAAGTCACAGTCTCCAGGAACTGGAGGCTATAAAGGTGGCATAACACCTCTCCTCTAGGTCTATAATCTGCAATAACATTTACAATACAGACTGCATCATATTATTTCCATGTTTAATTAGAGTAAAGAATATCAAACATTTTACTTTAACACTACCCCGTGTGCTGTTACTGGCTCTGTATGTGATTTAATGGGTGATCAATCATTCACATATCAGTGGTGATGTAAACCTGATGTTCATTTGCTCTTTTTCACTTCATGCATGGATCTCATGTAACAAGAAAAGAAATATCTATGAGGAATGTGGTAGTTCTGCATTGCTGTTAAATCTCAGCAAGCCCTCCTAGAATTCAAGAAATAAGGTAGCATCAGTTTACAGACCAACTTTTCAATGGCTTTGTTCCAAGTCTGTGGCCAGTATGGCTTATGCTTTGCTTTCATAGCCAAATATCTGATGCTTGACATGTCAAGTCAGCTGCTTCTTTTTTTTTTTTTTAAGAGAGTGGATATTGTTGATACAGCTGTGAAAGAGCCTTTTTTCCTTTCCAAAGAATTATTGCTAAATTGCATTAACCCTCTTCAGTGGATCAGAACTTAACAAAAAGTGCCCTGTCATCATTTTCCTTTCAGTCTTTTCTCACTACTCATCTGATCTGGTGCTGCTATCCACTTGTATTTCAAATGGGTATTATCCTGCCATTCATCTTCAGATACAACTTCTGTTGAAATCAACAGAAAAATCGCCTTTGTGAAATCTGAAGGATTAGACCTCTTATAGTAAAAATTGTTGGATTTATTCAACTGTTTTAGGGCAGTAAACTGAGTCCAGCTGAGTTCAGGAAGAAATGGGGCCAAGGACAGTCAGGACTGGTGGTGTCCCATGCCAGAGGAAGGAGAAGGGTAGCGCTGGGTGCCTTGCAGAGCTGTGCTGGTGGAGCAGAGCTGCAGGAGCTGGCACAGTGTGTGAGTGTCTGTGTGCTCAGGGGATGAGGAAGAGGCTGGGATGTCCCAGGTATGCCAGGCATGGAGGACACATTGATACCGTTCCTCTGTGCTGCTCTGCAGGAGCTTCCATGCAGCTCTAAAGGGCAGCTCCAAATGCTCCTCTCTAGGAGAAAAAGCAGGAAAGCTTCTCTGCCAGGGAAAAGGGAGTAACTATTTTGCCAGTGATAGCAACACAACTTTGTTGTAATCATAGTAATAAAACACAGCTAACAACTGATGACTTCTCTGAGGTGCTTTTAACCTTAATAAGAGCAGCATTAATTTTTCATATTATTGATAAAGCAAATTAATACATATCTCAAAACAAGCAAAACATAAAAAGGCATCAAAACCAAACTGAAATAATTGAATCTTATTTGTAGAGAATGCCATTAAAATAATGTAAATCTTCTTTTGTAAATTAACTTCATGCATAACTAGAAATGATTAGCATGCAGACATACCAACCTCTGTGTTTGTAATTTTGACTCACATCCTAATAAACTCTGGGTTTTTTATTCACTTGCACTCTGAAAATATTAGTCTGCATGAATGCACAGTAACTCTGAGAGAGAAATAGTGGGAAGACATGAAACTGGTGACAGAGCTGTCACTGAGCCTCCCAGGTCATAAGGGGGGATCTCCCTCCCTCAGTAGGGACAAGTGGAAAGATACCAGCCAAATATTAACTGTTCCACATAACTGGGAGCATCTGGGCACACTTGAAATCATGGACAGTGGATATTTTAGTACAATGCAAAAATAGTGCTTTTAGCTATCTACAGCACTGGAGTTCATGCCCATATCCCATGGCAGCAGGGAATTCTCCTAAGTCCAGAGAAGGAATAAGGACCCTTTAAAATGAGTATTATGGCAGATGTACAGTCCCCACTACAAAAATCATAATCTTCTTCAGCTTTGATTTGCAAAGGACAGTGTGGAAGGAGCAAATGCAAACAAATAACACTAAATAAACGTATATTTTCTTGGGTCAATTTTCAAGATCTTTCAAGCAGGTATCTAAAATCTATGTTTGGATGACTGGTGGGAGGTTGATAAGAAAGTAGTAATAATCTAGTTAAATGTTTCAGAATTTGACAGTATATTCTCAAGGAAATTAAATAAAAGCATCCCGTTTGTGTAAGAGCTCTTACCTGAATACAGGACTGGAACAAAGACAAACAAAAGTCTGATGTTCTGTTTCTAAAATATCACTCCCAAAATCCTCCAAGAGAATTAAACTTTAACAAAATATCTGATATTAATCACTTGATTAAAATAAATTACTTCGTGTTTATTAGTGAGAATCTTAGAAGTTCATAAACACATATCTGAACGCCACAATGCGTGGCTGGGGAATACTTGAAAAAGTCACAGGAGAAAACAAGACTCCTTTCACCCATATCCTCTGCTGCTATGCAGACTTCAGGTAGTCAGAGCCGATGTGAACCCAGCATAAGCACAGAGTTGCCATGTGCTGGGAAATTTAGAAAACTCTCTGTAGATATTTCTTTCAAAATTGGGACTAAAAAGCATTGCTGTATATCTCTTTGTGCCTTAAGGGCCTGAAAGAATGAAATCCTCCCTCATATGGGTTTGTGACAGACTTTGTTTTAGTTCTCATTCTTGTACCGTATGTAAACAATAACATTTGTGAGATAGGAATGGGCACTTGGGAATAAAAGGATAAACAAACAGGAATATTAAATACTGATGTGGATTTTTTTTTTTTTAATTTCTCAGATACAGAGATAATGCCTTATTTTAATTAAGCATTTTCTACTTCTGCCTGCATCAGTATTAAAGTTGCAAATTTATCCAAGGCAATTTAGTGTTTGAGCATAGAGAAAATAATCCACATTTTCTGAAATTAGCCAAGAGGGTAGGTTCCTGCCTAGAATTATTTACATTCTTTGACCCTTTAGGCTCAACTCTTTATCCAATCAAATTTATCAAGCAGAATTTGTAGCCTAACTTGTTTGTATCTTACATGTTTAGCATTAAGACTGCAGCAGAATTTTAGAAGTATCTGGCACATCTGGTGAGTATGGACACTGTTCATTAGAATAGCTTTGCAAACTGATAACACGCCAAAGCTTTGACAAAAGTACTTATGGTAGATGTCAATCACTTTGCTTTGCCAGTTTAAACATGAACCCTTCTGGGAATAATTTTTATCTATTCTGGCACACAACACATAATGAACAATATCTTCAGGCTTTGCAAATGAATGCAGGTCCACATATGTATACTGCATGTGGATCGCTAAACAAATGTCATAGAAGGAAGGCTGATATTTATACATGTTATCAGCAAAAATCTGTGAGAGACATCAGGCTGAGTAAGTAAATCTCTGGCAAATAAGGACAAGAGGACTGTGGATATACAGTACAGCTAGAGCAGTCACTAGCATTGACCATGTCTGATGGTGTCATTGGACAGGTTTCCTCTCCCCCCACCAAAACTTCCCCCTGAAATTTTCTTTTGTTACAAAAAGATTAAAAATATTATAGATAATAAGGATTATAAAAAGAAAAAAAAGGATTAAAAGTTAGAGGGACTGAACTTGTTCAACAAAGTGATACAGCAATGAAATAATCATAACCTAATTTCTGACACATTGTTTTGCATTATTGCCCTGTGTCCCCTCAGAGAAGGGACTCCTAGTGTGAAAGACAGAGCCAAAAATGGGCCCTCCAAGAAGG